GGTATCCTTATTTAAATACTGATTTCTCACTTTTATATTTTAATATTACAGGTTCATTTAATAAGAAAAGAAAGGGCTCATGTAGGACATACATCTATCCTCTTTCAAAATACAAGCTCCTGGAATACTTTTCTGGGGAACTTCTTCAATGTCAATGAATTGCATAAAAGTTTTTGTTTTTGTTTTTTTAGGTAGTACTTACTATAGCAAGATCTGTGTCAATGAATATAAAAACCATACATCTTTTCAAAAAGGTCAAGTGATCATCTTTTAGGCACTATATTAACAACTTCTCTGTGATGGTAAATTGCTATAATCCCTACACTCTGTCAGTCTGAGGCAAGAGAATCACAAGCTGGGGGTCAGATTCGGGTAATGTAATGGCTAAAGATCTCCTTCCTGCCTCAAAATAAGGAAAAGGCTGTGAATATAGCTCAGCATGAGGACACTGGCTTCAAACACACACACATACACACACACACACACACACACACACACACACAGAGGCACACAAACTCAAGATACTTGTTATTTTGTAATTGATAAACCATTTCACTTGCTATTACATTATAAATATTTGTCACATAGTCCCCCTGCACTATAAAATGACTCCAAAAATTAACTTCATGATTTAAAAATCTTAGATAAACTTCTGAAAGATACTGCTACATTCTTAATGAGAAAATGAAAATATTTTATTTTATTCTCAAGAAATTCAGACAAAATCAAAATGCTACATTAAATATACACATTAATTCACATTATTTATTGAACAATTGAAGATGGTGACATTTGCTTTTATTACAAAGTGGTCCATCAGTTTGTGCCATCAGCACATAGTGGAGTCCTGCATTTAAAGAGTAAATAAGAGTTAAAGTCTCTACCCCAACTCCACAAAAAATGATTTTATAGTTATCTTATAAAACCAAAATTTTTATGAATGATATATATTTTTGTTAATTAAAATGGCAGTATAACTAAGATTAATTTCCCATTTCATAAATGTACAATAAGGTAACATAATTGTTTGCAAAACAAATTAATATCAAATTACATTATATTCCAGTGGTGTATGATGTTTCTGTGGTTGATTTTCAGTTTACTGGATCATGCGTCAAATGTGAAGTTTATTATCCTGTGTATTTTTTCCTTATGAAAGCATTGTACTTTATTTAGTTGTATAAAAAGCATACTGAATCCAATGTTTTCCTTAAAATATATGCTTTAAAATGATACAAATACTTGAAACCTTTCCTTATATATCCAGAAGAAAACATATGGAATAGTATTGCTAAATTAGATAGAATATGCAAAATTTTACATATTCTAAGCAATTAAATCAAGTGTGTAAATATTCATTTAACTTTTGTTCTGGTCACAGCATAGCAAAACATTTACATCACTTTCAGTATAAAGAGACACTAAAAAGATCACATTTAATGCTTATAACAAAAACTAATTAAAGAATTATGTAGTCTAAAAGAAATATTCTTAAGTCCAAATTTAATAGTCCAGAAATAAAAAGCTAATTAACGATGAACTTCCCTTCCCTAGAAGCTACCCTTCTTTATTTACCCATTGGGATTCATAAATTATCTTAACTATAGTAGAATTTCCTGGGATTGAATAAAGAGATTTTGATAAAATTTTTGTATCAAATTAAATTGACTGAAATGAGAAAAATATGTTAGTTCGATGCATTACTTGAAACCATAAAATATCTTTTAAGCAAATGAAAAAGCACAATGACAATAAGAAAGCCAAGATATTTTTACAACAGTGACGATCTCAACAGTTTGGAAATTCCCAGAAAGCATTAATAAGAAAAAAAAAAAATCCTAATGCAAAACTGGAACGTGTGTTCTGTGACCAACCAAGTTTGCTAAGTGATTAACATTTTGCAGCTATTAAGACAGAGGTTTCCTTGCATGATTCATGCATGACTCGAACACCAGCTATCATTTTTTACAGTTTACATACAGTTTTTGAACTAAAACCATAACCCAATATATTTAAAACCATTTTAATAGTAGTTTAATGCTTTGATAATAGATTTTGAAAATTCTTTAGCTTTTAAATATTTTTAGAGAATAAACTATAAATTTTCTCTCAAGGCTTACATTTCCTAAAAGATTTATCTTTTATCCTGCAGGGAAGGAAAAACAAAATGAAATTTTAAAAACAATCCTAGTGCCCTGGGTCCCGTACATTAAAATTGGAGACCGCTTTGATGTTTAGTTCCATAGATTCTGCAGTGCATCAGGTGGGAAGCTGATCCATCAGGATTCTAACTGCTATCAATACGCCTTTGTAACTGCAAGGCACGTGAATGCTTTCCATCTTCAATAACTGACACAGTGTCAACATCTGCTTCCAATAAAGTTGTTTCTTTATTCTCAAGCACAGTAAATCTGCTGACTGAGATTGGTTCCCCCCTCTTTTCATGCAAAAGATTTTCCACCCTATTTTGCAACTTTTCCTCCAAAGAAAGTTAGAGAAAAAAGATAACTTCAAAAGATATACTTTTACTTCAGGTGCCAAGGTATATATTACCAGATCCATAAACTTTGGCCATTTAATGACACTGGATACTTGAATTGAGAGACAGTATGCTTGAATTGAGAGACAGTAATACACATGTCTCTGGATGAATATATTTCTAACTGAAATATGTAAGAAAACTCTAAGTTGGGCTTACACATTCACAAAAAGATAATTTTCCTTCAAGAATGGCATAAAAGGTCAGAATAAATAAATTTAGAGCTGAACTCTCTCATCTAGTATGAGAATAATGTCTCTGGGATAATTTCTCACCATAAAACATTTGTGTATCTCTTTGATTGTTGCAGAAATGGGTATGGAAAAATGAAGAGAATGGGACATTCAGCAGCTCAAATGTAAAGATGTGTTCAACTCTCTCTCTCTCTCTTTCTCTCTCTCTCTCTCTCTCTCTCTCTCTCACACACACACACACACACACACACACACACACACACACGCACACACACACACACGTGATTTCTCAAATTCTTCAGCCTGTCTCTTAGGCATTATTATCCCATTTTACCCAAGAGGTAAATTCATGAAGTCTCAAATTGCACATTAAAATGTAGCTAATCCAGAATTCAGAGAAAGATTTCCATTCTCTTCACATCAATTTATTTTGTCTCCCTATAGATTTCCTAGTCAAATGTCGAGCACAAACACTCCACTTTGTAACTTCTTATTCTACTGTTCCTGTTGGGTTAATTCAGCAAACACTACTTGGAACACTCAATAAAGAACAGAATATAGTCTCTTAAAATGTAGTTTCTGATTTGCACTTTAAATTAGAAATACAGCATTAACCCAGATAGTAAACTCAAAAACTGATTCTGTCATATTCTTCAAGTTTTAGACTAGAAACGGACAGATGTTATTTGTGTAATATCCAGTAGTTTTTAGGGGCATCTTTCATGCTAGTGCCTAAACTTTTGTTGTTGTTGTTAAATGTTTCAAAGGTAAAAAAAAATCTGTTCCTCAATTATGTGCTACACATTGGTTATCAGCTTGTAAATCTGATAGTTTAGCCTAGTTTTCATTATGAAATACAAGTAACCTTAAAAAGAAAGAGAAAAGAAAAAAATTACCAGAGAAGGTAAAGAGAGTTTGGCTTTCTTAAAAAAACATACTGATTTTTAAAAAGTATTGATGCTTCTTGCAAATTAACAATGAAAGATCAACCATCCTGTTAAGGTTCTAGTTTGTTAACATTTACGTTGTTCTTTAGTTCCTGACAGCTGATTGCTGAAAGCATGAAATTTACTGTTAATGCACAGATCAGATCCTTAAAAGCTTAAGTGAGGTTTAATTTATAAAACAATCAATGGTTAAGTGGCATTAAATGAAGTTAGAAAGGTAAGCAGAAGCCTTCAGCAAAGCAATTTGGAAATTTCCAAGTTCAGCAGTATATCATTGATGTTGAAAGACTAGATCCAGAGGTTTATACAATTTCAAATATAAAGTAAATTCATATTATTAGACTAAATTACAACTCATGCTCTTTTGTGGCTCTGACAGTGCTGGTAATGTGGTAACAGGAATGACAGACAATCATAAAGCAATATACTTCATCTTTAATACTTAAAGTTTGATCCATATCTGGGCTTGATCTCAAAGCTCACTTACTAATCCTTCCTGTGTACAAAAGAACTCAGATTCTTCACTTCTCTGAGCACCCTAGAAGCAGGAAATATTTTGTTCATATGGACGAGGAAGAACAGAGAACAAAACCTAAATAAAGGCTGAAGCCACTACTGGTCACCTCTGTCTCTTTCAGTCCAGTTTGATGGAGAATAAGGAAAGAAGCTAAAAGTTAATATATTCTCTTCTCAACTGAGAAAACCCAATTGAACATTTGAATGGAGTATGACAGTGTTTTACCAGAAATTGCAATAAAAAAGTTAATAGATTCCAAGGGAAATGGAAGCCAATAATACCCAGTAAGATATTTTATGGGAATTATTGAATACTTGTTTTCAAATACTCAGGATAACTCTGGACAAAAATACATTTTATAAATTCATTAAATTCTGTTCTCCATTTATTTGGGAAAATTACCAAAAATTTATATTAAGTCAAATAATACAAAAATGTATGTGTTAAGTAAGTTACCCTTAGAAATTAAAGACTGTTGGTAAGTAAAAGATACCTTAAGTTTGAACCCCACGTTGTTAAATAATGTACATATTTTGTTTAAGAAATTCTAGTTAAGAAGAATCACAGAATAGACTGACAAAAATACAAGAGAAGATAGGGCTATAACTTGCAAGATGCAGCAAAAAAAAATAATGTATAAGATACAGCCAAGTAGAATACTTGAAAACTACCTGTGAACACTCTGCCTACTCATGTTGCTTGTTCATGTCTAATATTCTTGCCTATGAAGTGCACAATTAAAATTATAAAGCAGCATTTCACAGAACATTCTACTTTATGAGTGTGAAGAAAAAGGAGAGAAATTTGAGAAACTCACTTTATTCAAATCAAACAGCTATATTACACTAACTTTTTACATGACACATGCAGGTGAAAGAAGCAATGTATCTTATCAGTAAAGTCTTTAAACTATCAATTTAAACAACTTCATTTAAATCCTAAGGCTGTGTCAAGTTGAATCCTAAACTGTTAAGTTTTATCCCAACTTCAGTACTTGTGGTAGAAGTTTAAATGCCAGTACAAATTTTATTTTGACCTAAAATATGTTAAAGGATTAAAACAAGTAACACTAGATTTATAGCGAAACAGTGGAAGAAATAAAACTCCTTGCAAAATACTATGTTTAAAAAGTTACATGTACCATATATTATTTTTCATTTTACAATGATGAATGGCATTATCAGAAACAGCCTGGGCTTTGTTATGAGTCTAGTACCTTTCCAGATATTATTCCCTCAAATTCTACAGGAAAAGAAATCACTTTAAAAAGAAAAAAACCTTAACCTTGAAAGTTTTATAAGTGAATAATTACAAACGAGTAGAGTAAGCCACTGGCACTCACAGGTAGCATTATTAAACACATTTGTTTTTAAGTACAGTAGTTATATATAAACTCTGGTTCCATTTATCAAAGTTGGATGGACTAAAAAGAGAATTATGACACTCTAGGTAAATTTTAATCTCATTAAAGTTAATGCAAACTTTCACTGCAGCCTCCAAGTACTCGTTGGGAGAATCAAAGTAAAGAGATATTCTTTAGTGTGGCCCTTAAAATTTTCCCTTTCCAAGCTATCTATGTAAGTCAAAGCTAAGTAAGTGGTATTAATGGAAAAAACAACACTGAACTGATTCGCTATGGTATAGATAGCTACTTTCATAGAAAAGAGAAAATATCACACATTTGAGGTAACCTAGAAAGCACAGACATGAGCATATCACAGACCATTTAAAGATAAGCATTTTTAAACATGTTGCCAGTGCTTTTCTGAGAGCAAGTTCTTTAAACAGAACTCAACAATTTTCACAATATTAAAAAAAGTACATCCCTCAAAAATAGCCCATCAATGCTAAACCAAACTTTCTGTATTTCTACAAAAATAGATGCACATAGAGCTACAAAATTTTATTCCTGAAAGAATGAGCATTTCCATTTGTGGTTCATCTTTTCCTGACACGATGGCTGGTTCCAAAATAAAAATATAAAAATGTAAAAGGAAATAAAAATTAACCCATGTACTGGTAAAGCCAAAACATAAAAAAGAAAGTCATAGGTTGACAAAGGCTCAGATGAGGGGAAAAACCAACAAAATGCTTTTCTTCAATGACCAGGACCCACTTTGCTTTCTCCAGAAAAGTTCCAAAACCAGAGTCAACTGCCTGACATGTCCTCTTCATCTATGTCATGCGTGTCTCTTTTGCAGACTGGCAAATCCTAACAGCAAATGTTCCCTGTGGGTCCTTGGATTTAGGCTGCAACTTGACGTGCTAACACTGTTTCAGTACCATGGAGACTCCTTGCTCTTGTCGTGATGCTGTAGACCTAGAAAGGTGATAACAGGGAAAATGAAGAACATGAGTACAAATAGCACACAGAAATGTGTACAGCCTGCACTGGACATGGAAAAGACAACCCAAGCAACAGTGAGAAATGACCTACAATAGTTTCTAAGCAAACAAATGTGATTTTTAAAAGCCAACCAATGTATTAGTGAGAAAATCTATACTAGTAGAGTATGGCTTGACAGAAAAAAATTTATTATAATGTTTTATTTCTTGGAGTTTGAATAATAAAAATGATGTAATAAAATAAATGAAAACATTGATTTATAGCTTCCAAAGGACTTAACATTAGAAAAAGGACTTAGCCAGTCTTTGAGGCCTTTAGGCAGTGTTTTAATTAATATTTCAAATAATAGAGACTTCAATGAATGATGTCAACCATCATAAAGGTACTGTAAGTCAAAACATTACAAAAACATTTGTTGTTTTCTTAAAACATATTCCACAATTGGAATACAATAAATTCTGGAGACTGGTTAGACATAGTTAAAAGCAGAGCCCAGTATTGTCAGTAAGAGAGCTGATTCACAGCTGATAGCACAAACCTTTATTTCATTTACTAATTTATCTATTTTAACTCCCTCTTCCAGAGAAGATTTAGAATGACTCATATAAATCCACACTACACAGTAAGAAAATAAAATTGAAGTAAATTTTAAAATGGTGTTATGAAGATATGTGAACATCGATTAATTCCAATTCAGATCTAAATTTGAGAAGTTTATCAAGGAGTAAATTTAGGAAGCAGGACTCTAGTCTGAATCTAACACAGTCAATTATTAGTTTCTTAGTTGGGCAATTAGTGTACTGCCTGCAGTTCACACCTACATGGAGCCATTTCAGTTTTTTCTTCAAAGCTTTATTGAAATGTAACTGACAAGCACAACTGTGTATATTTAAAGAATGTAATGAGATGCTCTGATAGCCAGATTATAAAATACCACAATCATATTTACACATCCATCACCTGTTTTAATTTCCTTATTTTTATGTCTGAAGTACACAGTTAAGAAACATGAAGATACTCAATATGCTTAAGTCATTTACTTAAGCCAAATACTAAAATACAAAGTGAAATCTTTTAAGCGACAGTGGGTGTAAATGAGGTAGGATTGCCACTGTATGGGTGCACGGCTCTCAGGATGTCTTCTTAACCTTTCCTCTAAAAATGTTGTAAGTTTGGTCTGGAGATCAGAAGTTAAATAATTAAATGACCTATATAGTTTTAAATTTTTATTACTACTAAAATAAGATTTTTTTTGTCCCACAACTTGTCAAATAAATTTACCAAATCGTAAATTGTATCATTACAGAAACAGATATGATTAGTTGGGTCTTGCAAAATGACTGCAGACATTAATACAGCACACAAAGCAGTGTAAATGGCCAGGACGAATGAGGAGATCCAGAAGCACCTCCCAGCATTGATGTCCTAAGGACAGGCATTTCCCAAATGCCACAAAAATGGCCCTGCCTTAATTTTTTTTCTCTCTCAAGTGTACTGGTACAATATTATCTTTCTTTCTTTCTTCTTTTGTTTTGTTTTATTTGGGAACTTTTTGGAGGTTAAGAGTGTTTTACTGGAAAGAAGAAGAGTAAGTTTCCAGGAGGGGCTCTGAGTGGGTGGCCCTAGTATTATGTTTAGATGCAGAATCAACTCTTTTTCAATTTTGAAAGAAAAAGGGAGGATAAAAGAGAAGAGGGGAAGAAGAAGGAATCAGCAGATCTGGGTTGTATCAAGTCACTCTAGATTTACTTCACTTATTTTCAAATGATTTTGTGGTTAGAATAATTTGCAACCTGCCATAGTCTCTGTAGGGTGCCTCTTATAATCTAAACCACCTTTACTGACAATCTGCTGACTACATAAATATTTTTTTCATTTTTAAAATGTCTCATCTTCTGCATGATTCAGTATTTCCACACTTGAAGACTGCATCAATCCATAGAATGTCAGCACTGCAAGTCATGAATATTGTTGCAATCATCAAGTGGCTGGAGTGTCTTTTCTTCTTTTAAAATAGATGCAATCTGTACTTTGCTTTGCAATGATATACGACTCCTTAACAGTCAGCTTTGCCTTTTTCTATATCTTAAGTATTGCATTAAGAGAGCTCCAAATTTCTCATCCAGAATGACAAAAGCCTTTCTCTTATAAATTCATCTACTCATTTTTTGTCTATGTCAAGCATTACTGTCGGTGTAAACCTTAGAAAATCAATTTATCTATGGCCTGAAAGCTATTGAATGTCTCCTGCATCCCTGAGGGTTAGCTTTTATTAGTAATGGGGCATAAGTCAAGTCTTTTCTTTAATTACTGGGCATCGTCTCTATACATTCTAAAGTGAGCATAAATAGTGTGCAAAGAAGGAACAACCACAGACAAAACATTCTACTGCAACAGAAAAGCAGGACTACAACCTTTCTTGTTAAGATTATTTGTAAAGGTAATTCAGGAAATGTAAAGAGTCAACCAGTGCATTTAGTTTTCCCCGTGATCCTTAGGTGGGCTACATATAGATGCTTTCTGCAAATTTCTTTTCTAATAGAATCCAGTCTACTGCAAGTGTTACTCCCATTTAGGCTTTCTAATTTTAGCTTCTCGTTTTTCTAACTCCAACTCATTATAATACTGAGACTTTCCCACTAGCTGTCTAAAATCACCTATGTTTACTTTCTTTATGTTAGTAATTGTATTTTGGTTTTATTGTTTAGTCTGTGACATTTTCTACAGAAAAGAAGATAAACATCACAGAAATGACTGTGACACTTTCTTTCTTAACTGTCTGAATATGCCAGAAACTGTGTTATGTGTTTTATATAAAATCTTCACTTAGTGTTCCCAAACATCGAAGAAAAAATATTTCCAAATGAGAATACTGAAATTGAGAGACATTAGCCAACTATTAAGCAGGAGAGGTCAGGAGTCAACCACAACATATGCTTACCTCTATGGTCTACGTTGGCTATAGGCTGTGGTGCTGGTCCTTATATCACAACAAATCCTCTCTCAAAATCAATTCAAGGAAGCATAAACAGATTTTTATTATTCTTTTTACATTAGAGACAGAGAACTGATATCACAATTAACATTACAGTTTTAGTGATTTCTTACCAACTGTCTGACATTTTTTCTATGATACAATAAATGACTACACAAGTTTGCTATATTGTAGATGAGGCCCGAATCATACTAACTGATTTTTAATGCATATCTTTAATATAACCAGCCCCATCAGACTTTCTCAGCATCATGTTTAAAACAGAGGCTGGTCATGAGATGTTTATCAGAAACCAACCAAGGAACAGTCATGAAAATGTTGGCTTCAGAGTTTGAGTTTCATATTCAGTTATGAGAAAAGTCCGAGAGAAAAACGAAAACTCATAGACAACTTTGTTCACATCAATTCCAACATCAATGCCACATGATCACAAACAGAAAAAAAAAAAAAAAAAAAAAAAACCAACTCCAGACCCAAGAAAAGAAACAAGATAACAACTAGGAAAAAGAAAAGTCTTAGTCAAGGAATAATTTCTTTTCAAAACTAGATCAAGCTGACAGTTTTAACCTGAGAGGCTGCTAAACAAAGGCATAAACCAGCTTAGAAACAACAGAAATTTACTATCCCAAATCAGAAGGCTGTGAACTCGTACCATCGAGCTGCCAGCAGAATGCGTCTAGTGAGGGTTCGCACTTTGCTCCAAAAGAGAACGCTTTCTCAGAGTATCCTCATAAACTGGACGAAATCAGGGATTTCTCTTAGACCTCTATATAAATAAGAACACTAATTCCACTGCTGCGGGCTCTGTCCTGTTATCTAACCTTCTCCAGTGACTCCACTTTCTAATGCCACTATCTTAAGAGAGAGGCTTTCAACATATGAATTGCCGGGCTGTGAGAGGGGAGTACATACTTCCAAATCACAGCACTGACAACTATGCATCATTACTGGAAATCATGTTCTTGGTCATAGGAAAATCATACTCTGTTGAGATTTTAGGAAGCAGCAGCTATGTGGATTCTCCTCTTGCAAAAGGCTGTGGAAGCAGGGAAATACAATAGCAACAAGGTGCATCTAGACTTTCTCTCTTCCTAGCTTTGCCCAACTCCTAGGTGTTTTGTAAAGAGTTGGCACTGAGAGGTGGACCTGCCGGTATGGGCCATAGCTAAGTCAGCCACTCCACAGCAGAAGCATTCCCACAGAAGAGTATCTTTCACTGGGAAGTTGAACTCAGGCCAGATTTAAAGATACAACACTACACAGAGAATGCACAGAGAAACAGATGTGGGAAGGAGGTCCACTTGAAAATAGGATCAGAAATGAAATGACAGCACTACGAAATATCCACCTATTCACTGCCAAGTTTGGTGACAGAAATAGTATTTTAGAAATATAACGGCACCCTCAATGAGAGTATAAGGGAGAATTTGAGAAGGAATTTCACCACTAAATCTGCCAGGAGTGGGGTAGCATTGAGTTGGTAATTTCAATAACCAGGATAAATATGGTGAAGTTTTTCTATTGCATTATTTCTATTATTATTTAAAAACAACACATTAGGTAACAAAAAGTTACATTTGACACAGCTAAGTTTTAGGGACGATATGATGGCCTCAGTGACATCCTGCTTGAAAAAATGTGTTTTACTTCTAACAAATCTTAGTCATTTGACAAACACCATGGACCATAGTTCTTTAAGTTGAATATGCTTCCAATTATTTTTATTGCTGGAGATAAAAGAGGTAACCACAAAATGGGAAACATACTGTTGATAAAAAGAGAAGAGAAATAGGAACATAAAATCTGGAAGTGTGGGCAGAATATTTTATGATCTAAAAGTAAAGGAAACATTTAAATAAATAAACTTTTCATTTCACAGATTTAAATCTCTAGAAATCATTTAAGAATGCTTTATACTACATTGATAAGCTGTTAGCTTATTAAAAATTAACATTATGCTTCACCCATGCTTTAATAA